TCCTTCTAATTTATCTATGATGTAATAAAATTAGGAGCTCTTATGGGATGAATCCATAGGTTAGAATAATAACCACTGGTTAACATTCAAGCCAACAACAGAAACCCACATAAAAAAATAAACACTGCCAAAACAGAAACTTTTCCAAATCAGAAGATGTAATAGGTTGTGACAAGATCAATAACTACTCTACTTTAATGTTACATAAAAACCTGACCCCAGTAAAGTCAAAGGTGTGAAGACTTGTTTTCACTAGAGAGGTACCTCCGGAGGTCATGCTACCCCAATATCAAAGCAAGCACCATCCACCGCTGCAAGCTCAATATTATCAGTGAGCTGGAAAGACCTGATACTCTATGTGAGCTATTCATCTTTTCCTGCATCTGATTTCAAAGGCCAAAGTTACCTGTTCTCCTGATCAGCTCCACCATCACACACACTTTCAGAGGCCGCAGCTTGAACTGACCACCTTGCAAACCCATACAGGTCCCTGCTGAACAGCTGGGACTCACAGACACACCCACTATCTGACAATAGGAGCAACTGGGCTATGCTGGAGCCTAGCTCTGTATTCCCAATGCCGCATAGCTCCAGGACTTTTTGCCACCCTAATACAAATTGCAAGCAACATGAAGGCATGAGAGCCAACATGCAGGCTGTTGATCGCTGAATAATGCGCATGAATTGGGCTGCTGAGGCCCCTTTAGTACTCATTACCATCTTTCTTCATCTTGCATATAATCTTCCCAGTGTCAAGTATTATATGCATCACCTGCCTTCCTGTTTTGGAAACGTTGCCTTAGAGAAATTACTTGTGGTACATTGATCATAGAAGTAAGAAAAAAAAATAAATCACAGCCTTGTGCATGTTGTAGATATTTTGCTTTAAGTCCACAGAAATCGGTGCTATGAAAGAAAGAAGGGAGGGGAAGGAGGGAGGAATAACTGCCATTTAAACATGGTCTAAAATATAACTTAGAAGAAGTGAAATTTCTAGATCATACAAAATAGTTGAGCACTAACCACCAAGAGACCTGTATCACTGCTCTAGATCCTAGGGTATTATGTTTCTCTGGTCTACCTTGCAATCACTCTGCTTCTCAAAATAAGGCATTTTTATTCATCAAGCAAGTACAAAATTCCTTGAGGAAATTTACACTATCATTGACATCCCTATATAACTCACACAAGCAGAATGAAGGTTATCAACAAAAATGGAGTGTGAATACATCCTAGACTTGTATTTTCAGAAGGTCTCAATTTTATTTGCAATCTTCTAGCTCTTTTTGTTGTTTTGTGGGAAATGGGATCTGTTTGACTTACTTCTTGGCAGTCACGTAATCAGTCAGTGTTTTATCTTTTCACAGACATAAAGTACCGACAAAAACTATCAGTCAAGTTTTTTAATCCCTTATGTCTTCATCTAACATTAAATACTTCAATGGCTAGGACTTGGGCTACTGCTGCTCTACATGCACTTAAAGATATTTTGCACAACTGAGTCAATTTTTCCAAATGCCCGCCTCCTACCCTCTAACACATAGCATATGGTACTGTGCTTGTGGCAGCATAGAGCTCTAAAATTAGGATTTCACGTCTGCATTAAAATGCTAAATTTTGCATCAGTATTTAAGCACAACTGAGGTTTTATAATATCTTTTATTTAGAAAACTGAATCTTAAAAGTTGATTCCTTTATATAGACATTGGCTAAGGTTGCTCTAAGACACGTTATCAGGTAAAATTTCAATCATAACCCAATGTTTATCAGTTTCATTATAAAAACAAAAGGAATACTCTTCATCTCTCATTATATATGATCTTCAAAAACGTTTTCTTTCATCAGCTGAATATCATCATAATCTGATACAGGTTAAATTCATTTGATGGCTACTACTTTTCAAATGTACAAAATACTCCAGATTATTATATAAAACCAAATCTTTTAGCTTTTATTCCTTCGGAACTATCCTTTGAATAGAAAGACACAAAGGTTTCTTTCTTATTTACTTTGGTGAACAACCACACTGTAAAACCAAGAGACACTAAAAAGATAAACCTGGATGTGGTTCATTCAAGTTTACGCTTCTGAGAAGCAGGACTTGCTTTGTACCTCAGCAAAGTCTCTCCACACCTCAGATTTCACAGAATTTAGTAATCTAATGCCTGAAATTAATTACTGCACTGCTGGTCCTAGACTTCTCCCTCTTACCTCCGAATTCCTTCTCTGATTGAATGACCAAAGACTGCTTGAAAGAGTGCAGAGGTCTTTTAAAAAGATGCTATGAAATGCTCGTTGCAGAATTGACTTTATTCTTTCTTTCTTAATTCCAAATTGTGATACCACATGACATAAAGTATCCAGAAATTAGGAAAAAAGAATAAGAGCAGTGTGAAGGAGGAAGGCAGATACCATGAAGTTACAAAGACTTAATGACTGTCTATCAATAAAGGCTATCTGTCCACAGCTATGTATGCAGACAGATGAACTTGGGTGTATAACAAAAGTTATACTGAAAATACTTACTACCATGTGCTCTTTGGAACCACTACTGAAGCGAAAAAAAAACTCAAAGCATTTATTTTATTTTCCATGTTCTTAGGATGTCTTAGCCTTCCCTTGTAAATTACGTGGAATTCTTGCAAGTACAAACCAGGAGTTCTTCCCACAAACCAAACCCAACGTATGATAATTGTTTTACTTCCTCGGTGGCAAGCAGAGCTACTAAGAGATATAAAATGCAGAAAGAAACCAAATATAAAAGAGAAAAATAATCAGCAGGCAAAAATTTGTGGGACATATACACAAGTTATTACTAGGGTCTGCATTACAGCACTGCTTAACTTAGAATCTAGAATTGTTGAGGTTAGAAAAAAGACCTCTACAAATGATGTGATTCAAAGTATGTTTCTCAAAATTAAGGTAGTACACATGTAACTTTAGAATATTTTTTAAATTGAAGATGTCCTAAAATTAATAATCTCAGAAACATTAAAATCATGATCTTATTCACAGATAATATTAGATGGCAGTTTTAGTTACGTCACTCCAGTTACTTTCTGTGATATTATATATAAAGCAATGTAACACCTGTGAGGTATTATACATATATATATACACACACACATATATACATATGTATATATATATATCAGCATCTTTATCGCTTACCTTCCAAGCTTTCTTGTTCATCTGGAGTAAAAGTATCCATCTGACTCTGCTGTCTCAAGAAATGGATGACTGCATAAACCAAGCGCTTGACTGATGACATATTGAAATTGATTCAGTTTCTCCTATGTCTTAAAAACAACAGGATCTCTTATTTCAGAAAATTAATTCTTACAGTATTCCAGTCTCCTAGTGACCTCAGTAAGAAGTATGTACAATACACAAAACCTTAAAAGCCCAATAACACAATGCCTTGAAACAAGCAGTGAAATTGTATGGATTAGGGAAAACTGCTATGATTATCTAGCCTAAGTACCATCAAAAAAGTACATATTTCCTCTGATTCATTACTGCAGGAAAGTTGAATCAGAATCACAGAAGGGACGCACAAAGATCATCAAGTACAACTCTCAAGTGAATGGCCCATCACCAAGGTTAAATTAATTTAATGACTTATTTTTCATTTATAGGGAGTTCTTTTATGGTTTTACTTTTATTTCTAAGACACATGCACTTGCAAGAAGGAGCATGTGCTGAGGTCAAAACCAATTAAAAAGCCACAGTGATAAATATAATGATATAAAGAAATATACTTCAATAAAAGGTGTTTGTTCTTCGGTGTGACATGGGTGTTATACTTTAATCAAAGATGTTCTATGGTGTTACATGGTGTTATACTTGAATAAAAGGTGTTCGTTCTTTGGTGTGACACGGGTGTTATACTTTAATAAAAGATGTTCTATGGTGTGACATGGTGTTATACTTGAATAAAAGGTGTTCGTTCTTTGGTGTGACGTGGGTGTTATACTTTAATAAAAGATGTTCTATGGTGTGACATGGTGCTATGGAACAGTTCATTATCACTTCGGACAAAGAAGTGGAACACTGTGACCTCAGTACACACTTGTGATTAGAGACACTACTGGCTCAGTCTGATTTCCATTTAGCATCAGCTAGGAGTTACATAACCTGGAGGACAATTTTAGTTAAAACCTTCCAAGTTATTTTTCCTTAAATCCTTTTGATTTTAAAGGGTACAACCCTATCCAGCTATCGGGGCAAAGCAGGTTTAAAAGTGAGCATTAAATGAACGGCAAGACCAGGGTCAGCCCCTCGCTCCATTATTTTCTCCCCACAACGCGCGAGCGAATCGGTGTGCGGCCAAACCCACGCCACGCAAATCCCGCCGTGGGGACGGGAGAGCCAGGAGGGCCGGGGGAGCACGGCCGGGGGCACCGGGGGTCCCCGACCAGCTTCCCCCCGAAGGGGCAGCGCGGGTTCCAGCGCCCGGGCGCGCCCCCGCGGCCTCGGAGGGGGGCCGCGCTCCCGCCCCCCGCCCGCCTCCGCGTTCTCCCCCGGCCCAGGGCCGCTCGCTCGGGCTCCAAGGACAGCCCTGCACCGCCCGGCACCGCGGGGACCGCGGCCGCACCGCCCGGGGTCCGATCTCCCCCCCGCCCCCGGGCTCTGCGCACCGAAGGTGCGAGGAGGCGGCGCGGAGCCCCCTCGCCCCCGCGGGGATGAGGCATCTCTCTTACCGTGCGAGAGCTGGCGAGTCCGCGCCGCCGGCGGCTGGCAGAGAGCAGGGACGCGGGGTCGAAGGAGGCGGTGGCGGAAGCGGATGCGCAGGGCGGCGGCGGAGCGGGGCTAAGGGCTGCGCTCGCCGGTGGACAGAGGGCGGGGTGGCGACGGGAGTGAAGCCGGTCCTTCCTATGTTTCTTCTTCCTCCTGTCCGTCCTTCCTTCTCCTCTCCTCTTCCTTCTCCTAGTCCTTCCTACTCCTCTTCCTCTGCTTCTCCTCTCCTCCCCTGTTCCTCCTCCTCTTCCCCTCCTCCTCGAATCCGCCTTCCCCGTGTCCTCCTCCCCCGCCGCCCACCGCGCCGCCCTGCCCATGCTGTGTCTTTGCGCGGGCGCGGTTCGCAGGTAGGGGCGCAGGGAGGGTGGTGCCGCGGGACCCGGGACGGGGGCGGTCTCCGGAGTGGGTGGGGGTCGCCTGGCCGGACTGAAATCCATGGGAGCATGGAGCTGCCTGCGGCTGACGGGACATCCCCATCCCTCGCCCGAGGAGCCGGGCCTGGGAACTGGGCCTGACCCCCGGGCCGGGAGGAGCCGCAGCGTAGCGGGTGGGACGCTGAGGGGGGACGGGCACACAATGGGGCAGGAAACCTGTGGGGTTCATTGCCTCAGCTCCTGGCGCGTTTCCCGCAGTCCGCCCTCCCTGGCATGAGCTCCGTCCTGAAGGGCTTCCAGGTGGGCAGGGCGGGCGAGACGAGGTGTCCGCCTGGTAATCCTTGCACTGAGTGGCACACGTACTGCAGGAGAAATGGGCAAGAAGACAATGGAGTGAAGGAGAAGACTGTAGCAGCGGGACTGCAGCAAGGTGTGTGTGAAGAGAGACTGGCAGTGTGTTCATAGTAGCTCTATAAAAAGGTGTATCACTATTACACGTTGTACGAAGGGTGAGACGAGTACTAGTATACTACCGAAAGGCTTTAAAATAGGGCATTACTTATTTAATTAATGAACACGAGCACTAAATGGACCCCAGAAAAGCAGTGTGGAAGAAGGCTTGTAGTCAGTTCTAGATGCACCAGAGAAATGAGCATCATTGCTTTTATGCTCGCATCTCAATTTCCCCAAAAGACCAGATTTGAAAGAAAAATGGAAGTAGTGTGAGAGGCACAGTGAGAATATGTTGTGGTAATGAGAATGAAGCTGAATTTGAGTGTAAAATGAAAAAGATAGTTACCTGGTGAGGACTTTTGAGAAATGATAGTTGTGTATTTACTGCATAAAGTGTAGTGGTTTTGTTCTATTTCACAGCCTTTGTTCACATCAAATGAGGATTGAGGGTATTAGCAGATAGAAAGTAAGATCCAGAATATTTTCTTTTTATAAAGCTTCTGCTGTTGAAAATTGATTGACCTGTTTTCTGGTGCTGAATAAAGTGCACATCTATATTCTTTTCCTAATACAGGTTTACATTCCTTTTTTTGTATAGTCATTTTCACTGTTTTCCATATTTTGTGACTATCTTTGTTTACCCTACAGATTTTTCCATCAAAAGAAGGCAAGGAAAGGAAAAGGAGTATGGAAGTTTTTTTCTTTAGATAAAAATTAAAAGGTCTATCTCTGTTCGCGGTTTGCATTTGGACATGGAAGATACCTCCTTTTTAAGTAGAAATAAGTATAGTGGGGAGTGGTTCCTGCACTTTGTTAATTGTGATTTTTTTCTTCAAGTCATTATTTCAGTTTGCCCAAATAATTGTTTCACAGAAGAGAGTATTCTTGAATGAGTAATAGTGACTTGTAACTTTGAAAAGTTAAGGAATTGGTCACAGAAATGTTGGATAGCAAAGGTTCTCAGCTTCTGTTTTTCCCAAGGGCACCTTAATGTGAGATAAACATGACAGTTCTTAGCAAGTTTGAAGTATCATGCCTTACATTAAATAAAATAACGTTAAGGTTTGATTCTTTTGTTTAAAATAGACAGATTTTGGGAAGGAGGCTTTTCCCAATTAAATATTTTTCCTATTGGAATCCAAAAGATTCAAAGATTCATATTCAGTTCAATAAAATACATGGGTAAAGCCAGTCTAAATTACTTAAGTAAGCCAATAGTCTGTTTACTTTATGAGGATCTTCCTAGAAATGGAAAAAAAAATCTGAATAAAAATAGATACCCTGTTTTAAATAATTTCAGTGTCCTAAAATCATTGTCTAGGATTTGTGAATTCTGGAGCATTGCTTTGAAAATGTCAAAATCCGGTTTTGAATTGGAAAGTACGTGTACGTGGATTCTGGAAAAACTAGAATTTATATTTAAGATTTAATTTTAGATTTCCATCACTGTAAAGAAACTCTGAACACTGGCATTTTTCTTTATGAGGAAGAAAACCAGCGAGAAACAGAGGCTGGGAAGAAGCAGAAAAAGAAGTGACATCAGAGGGCAAAGAAATAGGAAGAACTTTCATAGTAATTTTCTTATTTCATACTTATCATCATAGTGTGTCTCTATGCTTTCATTGAAGTATCAGGTCCAGCACCTCAGCAATGGCAAAGACCGGACAGGACACTTGGAGCATTTTTCCCTTTTCGTGTGATCCATGGACTGCACAACCTCTTCTGTGTATTGCAGCAGCAATTTTTCCTGTGGTCAAAAGCAACAGCTACCACTTTTCTAACCACAGCAGGCTACAAAAGAGCAATTTGTCTATTAGACAGAGTTGGCAGAAAGAAATTATTTCCTTGGCTGGCTCAGACAAATGTGTTGAGCCCAGAAACATTTTGTGGACTGAATTTGACCCATAAAGAACCAGTTGGACCTCACTAAGCAATGTAGTTAATGTCTTTTGAGAACATATCTGTTCTGTCATTCTCTCTATAAAGGAAGAAATGCCTGGCTTAGAAAGATTTCTTTTAAATAGTTTGGGTTAGTTCAAAAGTCCAAGCTTTCTTCTGTAGGAGTTGGGATCAGGTAACTCAGAAAGCATAGAAGATACGATGAACATTCAGTACAATCTTTTCAGAACAGTCTAGGAATTGCGGACTCTCTAACACAAAACCAGTTCTCCTGTATGATCTCTTGTACAAAAATTTGTCTAGTAATACCTTTTTATATTGAAACTACTTCCTTAAACTGTGTTTGATCTCTTACTCAGTTATGTTGGAAGTGACAGGAAAAAAATTTATTCCTGACCATTCTCTCCATCCGTCTCTTCATTATCATATAAATCTCTGAAGTACTTCCTCTGTTGCGTTTTTTTCTCTGCTTTTTTAATTTTTTTTTTGTCTGCTCTGAAGAATCCCAGTCTAGTTGTTCTTTGAATGGAATATATTGCTCACTGCAGGTAATTGTTTCTCAGTCATTATGACTTGGTAGAACAGATAAAGGTTTTGGCAGGTAGAACAGAAGACATGAGAGTTTACCTGTTGAGAGGATCAGAAACACATGTGGTATAATGAATTTTTCCGTTTTGTTCTGTTCCACCTCTGCTAAATCCTATCATTTTGTTCTTTGTGGATGCCTCCTCGTTAATGTTTTTGTTAAACTGTTATGTCTCCAGAGTGACTGGATCCAAAGTGTGCATTAATTCACATTTACTAATACTGAAATTCACTTTGTTAATGGTTTTAAACTTTTCTATATTGTGACATTGTTTTTCATCTTTTTGTGGCTGCCTTTAGTACACTACATTGTCCTAAGTAAATTATCATCAGTAAGTTTTGTCATGTCATTCATCCCAGCTTTTTGTAGATGAGGTATAAATATGTGAAAAAATACAAAACCCCCAAGATGGAACCCTGCAAGGTTCCACTGTCACCTAAATCCATTCAGAGCAATGAGCAGCCATTTTTAACAGCCTAGCTTTTAGCCAGTTTTCTGTAACAGGATCTCCCTTCTCATCTCACAACAGCAGTTTCTGATCTCTGTCGATTGTGACTCCTTCAAAGAATTCCAGTAGATTTGTGAGTCTAAATTTTCCTCTGTAGAGGAGGCTATTTTTCAGTACATGTTATTTGTGTTTTGATTAGGGAAGGCAAGGTGAGGACAGTGGTAATTTTACTTGTTTCTGAGCAAAATATGATACAGCATCTCTGTTATTCATACCATCTCTAAGAAAAGCTCCGTCTTTAACAGCGACCCTTTTTATTTCTTCAGTAGAATGTTAAATGAACAAAGTTCTTGCCATACTTACCATGCTGGAACATGTAGCTTTTCACATAACCTGTAGCTATCCTGGGAAGCACTCAGTGTTATTAAATCACTGTTCACTCAAAAGCCAGAGAAGAAAGCAGGCTTCATTTGCGTTCCTAATTTGTGGTGTTGAGCAGGCTGTTTGGGATTTTGCAAGCAATGAAATGGACATAAGGCACTGTCTCCCAAGAAGATCACTGGTTTAAAATGGTAAGTGAGTGAGATTGGGTCATCATCCGCTATAAAGACATAGAATTTTCCAACTAACTGGTGATGGCAGGAGAACATTTCTCATTGCTTTGACTGCATGAGACTTAAGATCAATGGGAAATCGAAGTGTATCTCCATGGTAGGCTGAGCTGATTAACAGTAGATGTAAATCAAAAACCTTTTGTGTTTACAAACCCTCAGTAGTTTTCTCTGTCCTGCAGCACCACTTCATTTTCCAGTGGAGTCAACAATGTGTTTCTCGTGCATTAGCTGATTGCATTCAAGTACTGAACTATCCTGGGAGTAACTGTGCGGTGTTTGCACTAAACAGCATGCACTTTACCTGCTGTTTATTGCTGGCATCATGGAAATATATGTTTATGCAGCAGCACCTGAGGGAGCTGTACAGCCTTAAAAGCAATTTTTTTCCCGCTGTGTTTCCACAGTTTACCTGATAGTAGAACCAAATAATAAGATAACCGTAATGAATACCTCCTGCCTCAGACTGACTGTAGTACAATTATTGTCTGCATGCAGGTGTTAAGTCAAATTCCTTCCTAAGACCCTTCAAGGAAGTTGCTATGATTGAGGTTTGCTGTGACACAGAATGCATTCAGTTCACAGAATGAGTGTGAAGCCTAGTGTACTGGTAGTAGTAATTTTGGGTTTGTTTTTTTTTTCTTTTTTTGGGTATGGTTGTTTGGTTTGGGCTTTTTTTGTGGATTTTTGTTGTTCGGTTTTGGTTGGTTGGTTGGTTTTTGGGTTTTTTGTTTGGTTTGGGTTTTGTTGTGTTTTTTTTCCCCTTAGAACCATGGATAACATAATTTTAGAGATCAGACACTCTGCTGAAACTGTATCCTGACATTTCTATGTGTTCCACTACAGACTACTGTGTTGAAAGCACCTTCTCATATGAAAATCAATCAGACCAGTTTCCAAATTTTGTTGTATAAAGACTGTCAGAGGGAACAAGGGGAAGGGGAGAAAATATATGTAAGTTGTATTATGTTATGCACTTGTATGAGTTTCCGCTTAAGGTCTGGATTGTTTATTAGCTGCTGCAGAGCACCTTTTTCAGTTAGTTTTCTGTTTATGTTAATTCTGTTGGAGAAACCAGTAAGCATTTCTTGCCGGATAGTGAGGTCATGAGGGTAATGCGCATATCAATAAAGGTTTGAAGATGTTTGCATAACTTACAGATTTTTTAACTTGCTCATTTTTATCTGAAGAGGTTAAAAGTATAGTTAATGTAGAGTGTACAGTGAACCAAGTTGTAGATAATTCTTTTTTCTAAATGGTGTGACAAAATTAAGATTTAGTGTTAAAAGGTGCTAGATTTTCTTCTGTTTCTTTAACTGCTGCTTAAAAATAATCAGTTTCTGATGGCAGTTATAGACCTTTAAATTAGGAAGTACTAAACATGCTGTCCTTTTTCTGTGATGAGATATGTCTGTGCCAAACACACTCATGAC